CGTCTCCCTGACATGGCTGCTTCAACACTAACTGCGGTTACTGAAACCACGCCTTCTTTCTTTGCGTGCACATTTGGGCCGCATTATGCAAATATTTCCACATAGTGAGGTAGATATGTGGGGGCGTGTTAGAACGAGCCGTTTTAGGGGGGCGTGGCAGAGTCTTAACTTTGATAAAGAATATCTCTTTGGTTTTGAGACTTTAGTCTTTGCAACTTCAGGGATCTTATCTATGCACAATCAGCTTGTAACACTCCAAAGAGAAAGGAAAACTTGAAATCGCATCATATGACCCCTTTAATGCCTGCCGAATGTGCTAAAGCGATTATTTCAGAGTTCGCCATTGGATAAAAAATCTCCAATAAATCATGAAATAGTAGTCGTGACCGGTGTTCTGACGATTTGTGCTACCCGCTCAGATTGTGCTACCTCCCATTAAAAAGATAGGTAGCACAAATCGATAGCGAAAAATGCTACCTGATTGTGCTACCAGCATCTTATTCATGTGGTTTGAGGCTGTTTTTATGTCCATACCTACCCCTACCCTAAACCTACCCGTCCATATCTACCCTTACCCTAAACTTACCCATAAAACAATGCAAATATATTTTGGGTAGCACAATCTGATAGGTAGCATGTTTCGTCGGTACACCCGGCAACCGCCAAATGGTTTCGATCAGAGAAATCAATGCAAGAGACTCGAGAATGGAGTGAAAGCGCCCAGGTGGAGCAGAGAGGCAAAACTACTGACCTGTTCAGTACTTCAAGTGCAGGTCAGTTTCATCTGTAAATAGGCTATTGTAGTTTTATCTTTGTTTACTTAGATAAGTATTAAACTGCTAGCACCTGTTCTGTTAGCAGTAGCAGCCCATTACTCATCACTCAAAACACTGTATGCTAAAGGACATCATTATTATCTATTGTAATGTCACAGTAGTAATTTAGCAGACAAATATTTACATCATTTTATAACAGGTTTAGAAGGAGCTAGGGCAGACAACAACACAACCCTTACAAAAATTAACAATGGTGAGGCCTAATTTTCGTAAGGGAAAAATATGACTCATTATAATGCAATAACATGTTCAGTATTAGGATTTTACTATAAAGATATTGTAATGATGTAATTGTTATTGTAATAATTTTGACATTTAGGCAAATTAGAAAATATCAGGAAAAATTAAGAGACTGAAAAGGAAAATGGAAGTGAAGGTCCAGTTCAGGAGAGAAATTTTGCATGTTATTTTGCATGCTTTTAAATGCCCTAGCATGAAGATAAACAAGACGGATTGTGTGTGGCTCACTCAGGGCGGGGTCTCTGCTAATACGGCGCTGTCAGTCAGTGGCTGTGGGCGGGGCCTGAGCAATGTGACGTCACACTGCTCAGAGAATCAAAACGGCATGTCTAATGAGACTGATTTGGTTTAATGATGATTAAAAAATAAGGAGTGGGTGGATTTTTATCATTGTAGGGTGGTTGTGTTCACACACTGCCAACACACATTTATGTCCAAACACCATGTAAAAGTGGATTTTGCATAATAGGTGCCCTTTAATAGACACTCCGTATTTGGAACTATTTTTGTTGGTGATATAGAGCAAATCAGAAATACTGTTCTTTAATGTAAGTCTCTTAATATTAACTTCTTGTTTTTGAATTCTTGTTTTAAAATGCTGCCCATTTTGGCCAGGACTCTCCTGTGAAAGAGATTTTTAATCTCAGAGAGGTTTTCCTGGTTAAATAAAAAAAATGGCATAAAATCAGTATCACATTTGCAGTCATGCTAACATTCGGGAAAACAGCACTCTTCTTCCTCGATTGATATTGGTTAATGCCATATGTTAGAAAAACAAGAACTCGTACAAACAAACCTCACTAGCCCTGTGTGAGAAAAAAGTTTGTGTGGTGTGAGAACATGTTTTCAAATATTTATGAACAACTTACTATAAGATGCTTTTTCAAGGTTAGATGTTCCTTTGAAGCCGAGAGAAGTTTTGTTGCAGGAAACAAAATTGCACTGCACTGTGATGTTACATCCTTTTCCACATTTGTAAGTAAAACTGTCTTTGTATTTCCATGACTAAATGCATTGTTTTTTTTTTCTCCTGCATTTTTTAAAATCCTGACTAGCGTCTGCACTCTGCCGGTTGCTAATTGAACAGGCTGCACACGTTTTTTTAAACAGTCAGAGTCAGAGAATCACCAGTTGCCTCATTGGTTAAAAAATTCCAAGCATTTTACAGTAATATTAAATGAAATAAATGGCATTTAGATTCAAAGTAATCACTTTGGTAATCTAAAATACTTTTCGGATGTAACTGTAATTTGATTAGGCCTACCACCCATTTAAAATGTAAATGTAAGCCACAAATTAAACCACTGACAGGTTAAGTGAATAAAATGTATTATATTGTTACATTGGCCGCTATCAAGGCGTGGGATATACTGGGCAGCAAGTGAACAGTCAGTTATTTAATTTTGTGTTGAAAACAGGAAAAATGGGTAAGCAAAAAGATCTGATTGACTTTGACAAGAGTCAAATAGTGATGCACTGACAAGACAAAAGTCAGAGTATCTCCAAAAAGGCAAGTCTTGTGAGGTGTTCCTGGTATGCAGTGGTTAGTACTTAACAAAAGTGATGCATGGAAGGACAACCTGTAGTCAACTGGGGCCTGAGGGGGTTTTTGCACCTTGGAAAAGTTTTAACATGCCTTGACATTTGTGGTTTTTTAAGTTGCTTATAGTCTCATTGCATTGTATTCAGCACAAACTGTGCTACAATAATATGTAAAATATGTACATGTTTGTATTTTTGAGAAAATGATGTTTATGTGTGGTTAAAAAAAATAAGGCCAGAAACCACATACTAAACATATGTCCACAAGACTTTTAAATACTGGATTTTGTCGGCTAGAGGTTTTGTTATAAAGTGATGTGAAAATCATGCTGCCCACTCATTCCGATAAAACAATATATTGAATTAACTTTTGTGGGACACATTTTGTGTTAGAAAGGCCGAATGTGAGGGAGTGTCAGTGGACAAAAATATTGATGTGATTCTCACCTGAGAGAAGCAAAGACCCTAATGGGCCTATCAAGGTGAATGTGACTGTGAGGCAGGTAAGAAGCAATGTGAGGAGATAAAAGAATGGGTTTCTTTGTTTGTTTGTAGTTTATTTGCAATATAGTGCACAATATAATTAAAATGTAAAGAATTAAGTTTGAAGGTGCATTATTTGAGTACACTGATTTTAATACAGAGACTTGAAGAGTCATGCACATTTGTGCCATTCTTGGAAACAGTTCCTGTTCAACAGCACTGAAGAAAAAACTGTCCTGCCATAAGCAGACAAAGATGGAGCTCACCTTCACCATATTCATGTCGAATATGAGAACAATGTGGTACAGCTACAGCTATAGCTCTCAGAGAAAAAAACAGTGTGAAGGCATGGGAAAGTTTGAGTCAGCAAGACTCATCTGTGGTCCAGGTTCCTGTGCAGGCAAGTACCGGTCCTGTGCAGGTTGATATTAGGAGCAACTATTGTTAAATTTACCAAAAGAAGCACTAGAGTGTGACCTGATGTGTCCTTCAGAGAGTCCTTCATTCTGAGCACATGAATGTCTGACCAAAGTTGACTTGAAGCATTTAACTGGAAACCAAAAACTTCATAAAGGTCAATCCTTGATTTGTTAATAAACAACAAATATGATTACCAGGAAACACACATACTGATGAACTTTATACCTTGAATGCATGTGACTAAAATGTCTGCTAAGGGAATAAAGGAAGAAGTGAGAATTGTTGTTTGTATCCTGTTGTCACCTTTGGTATATTTTTGATGTGGCATGTTGACTGTGCTGCTAGTATCTACAGGCATTTACAAGAAACATTTTTTTGTAACTGTGGGTTTGTTTCTTACATGTGATTTTATTTGTGACAATTACACATTCTCATATTTGTGACATAACATATTTTGACATATTTCATATGTATTTAATACAAATTTGCATTTATATTTCACTGTTTTGAGTTACTGAAACAAGCTTGTCTTTTTTTCTGTATGGCTTTGAAATGAGTACAGTACTTAACACATTGTCTAATAGACCATGCGGTAATAAAAAAAATCAATAAATTAGTCAATAAATACATATGCACTGCACAGGTAACAAAAGAAGCTGGAACTCTGAACCCCAGTTATGGAACAAGTAATTAGCATACATTTAAATTTAGGGAATTTTCAGATGCAAAACACAGAACAAAATGCAAAAGACTTAAGTTTCACATTTGAGACTGTAACATTGCAGTGGAAAGAGAATTTGCAAAGTGTGGATCTAACTGAACACGGTAGAAGACTGGGGCCATGGTAGTTCTTGCAGGCCTCTTGTGAGCCTCTGGAGCCAGAGGGAGTGAGTTACATGAAACAGGAGATGCTTTAAAACTGTCTGTGCACTTTAAAACTTAATGCACTCTTCCAGTCACGTGCTTATGGTTGCATGGAGTGATGCTGAATGATTGTCTTAAATTCTGACAGAAACCATTAAAAATCTAATGAGGGTTTTCATCTCAATCAGGCTGGAATTGAGGCCTTGGGTCTTATTTATAATTATTATTCAATATTAGCAATTTGTGTTATTATTACTGTGGATGTGTGAGACTTTTTTCACTTGCACTGAATAAGCAACACATGATATTTGTGCTCTAGAAAGTATGCAAAAAAAAAAAAAAACACAGAACAAAAACTCTCCTGTCCAAAAACACGTGAAGCTCAACACATGTGCAAAAGCACAGAGAGCAGGATGAGTGCATGCTGCGTAGGTAAAGGAAATGGAAACCACAAGTATAAGAATGAACATAATTGAAGAGCACGACAGAGTGACAGAAATAAGTCGTGTGATTTGGATGGTGACTGTAAGGATTAGACTGGATGAATTTATATTTTGAGACTGTCTGTGAAATACCTGGCTTGTATTTGAGATGCATTGGCTGTACCTGAGAAAGATGGCTTTGTTCCTTGACATGTTGGTAGTTTTCATCCTGCATGTGAGCACCGACGCACAAGGTGAGTTTATAGCATGAATGATGTCCAAGACAAAATCGACTATTGATGCTGTGATTTTCACTGACTAGTTCTGGTGTAATCAATATTCTATTGAATTTTCTTTTAGTAAAAGTTGAACAAAATGTGAGGATGCAGAAGGTAAATTTTAGGTGACATAACAAACAACAATGGTTCGTTTAAAACCACAGTTTAGTTTAGATTTCCAGTCACATTTCATTTGCCGACATAATTGCAAAAATGTAACACATTCCTTTACAGTTTTACATTTAAAGCATATGTGCTATTACAACCTTTGCATGCTGAAAACAATTTGCATCTCCGTTGGAAAGAAATGTTCGGTTCCGTAGCATTTTCTCATTTTAATGATGTTCTAACAGTTTACTGTTATCATTGTGTTCATACATTTGCTGCAAATGTTATATATTTTAGGTCATGCCCCCAAATGTCCTCTCTTTAAAGTTCAGAGAGGGACTGTCTATAAAGCCTTCATAAACAAGCCTTTGAAGATCTCCTGCAATCTGATGTATTGTGATGAACAGACAATCAATGTGACATGGACAAAAGAAAACTTGAAAGATTGGATTCCAGTATATAAAGCAGATCAAATGTCAACATCACAGAACTATTCATCATCCGATCCAAAGATACTGTCTTCATATTTAACTTTCACAGACATATCAAAGCATCATGGCGGTCTGTACCGATGTGAACTGAAGTTCTCAAACTTCTCTACAGTTAGCCATCATATTAATATTTCTGTCTCAGGTAACTATTTTTTCAACACCTTATGTTAACAAATGTGATTATGTAAGGCCGACGCCATCAGAACCATCTGTGGTAATTATATGAAACTTCAAATGAATTTTAAACAGTTCTAAAGCAGTTTTTGAACTTTTGCAGATGATATGCTGGAAGATGAAATGCCTTGCACTGACAGTAAGAGCAGTTTCAATCTATTCAAAGACTGATGTGACTGTTCTCAAAGATTTCCTATGATCCAATTCATGAAAAAATAAATGATATTACTGTATTTATATGTAGGTGCTCTTCCAGCTTAACATTGCTTCTCCTTTTTGAAAATGACACTAGATTATCTTTTCTTAGTGACTGCAGTAAGAGAAAACACTGATTGCAGCTCTGATTCAGGTCCATGGTGGCTGCCGTATCTCTTTATCTGTTTGGGTGTAGTGATTCTGGTTGTCATAGTAATGCTCATCTCCATCCTGTGTATTAATGGATTTAAAAGTAAGTCATTGTGTCATTTTCCATTATTTTGAGATATTTGCATTTTGGCATGATCCTGAATTTGTCTCTTTAATGATCATTGTCAGGTTCGAGAAGAAAGAACGCACAGAGATCGCAGGTTCAGGTACGTTTTATAAATGACTGATTAATGTTGTGAAAATACATGTACTGTACATTTGTAATTGTTCAGAACTGAATTGAATGCATTTTAAATTATAATTCAGTTTTTGAACTTGAATTGAGGTATGCAAGATAGAACTGTACCTTGATTTTGATTTTACAAATTTAGAATTTCAATTAACAGTACACTCTAAAAAATGCTGGGTTAAATACAACCCAGTGCTGGGTAAAATAGGGACAAACCCAGCAATTGGGTTGTTTTGACCCAGCGTTTGGGTTACTACCCAGAAGGTTGGGTTAAACATTTAACCCAACCGCTGGGTCAAAACAGCCCAATTTTCAGCATTTTTTAGAGTGTAATGTTTTCATAAATTACCCACAACACGTTTTCACACATTAAATTTAATATACAACTGACATTAACAAATAATGTTTAAAATGCCATGTGTAGATTTTTTTAATGAATGAATCTAATTTTATTTGTATTTACTAATTAACTTACCTATCATTTCACATCTCGGTCCATGAACACATCATTTTCCAGAATGCTCTAGATTACCCCTAAGTCCTCAAAATAGAGTTAAGCAAGAGCATCTTGGGAACCTTAAACAAAACAGCTAAGAAGTTCTCTGTAATATTCTGTTGTCTGACTGTGTTTAATTTCTTTAAATTGCAGTTTAGCACATTCTGCCTCTCACTCCAATTCAAATTCCAACTCATAAAAAAGCAAAATCTTAAATTCAAAATTTTGCATATCCAAATGTACAACAACAATGATTACCCTATTATATTTGCAGTATACAGCAACATCTGTCTGGTCGTCGCCAAGCCCCAGTGTTCTGAAGCGTGATGAATTTGTCTGTGTCCAGTACTCAGAAGAATCTCGTGACAGCAACACATGCAATTTAACGTTACCACCTGGACAGTCTACATCATATGTGTCAGATTGTAGTGATGATCCTTTGTCTAAGAGGAGAGAAAGCAGATCAAGCCAGGTTGTATATGCATCTCTGCATCACCTCACACCAACACCATCATCTGCTACACCCCGTCAGACACAGGAGGAGTTATCAGAATATGCATCAATCCGGGTCTCCTGATTTTCTGTCTGCGGGTAATGCATAACCAGGCAAAGTTAACAACATTTTCAAGTCTCCAAACTTAAAGAGTGAGGCAGTTTTGTGAAACCGTACAGTACTGTTAGTGTTAATATTCTGTCTACCAGGAAGCAGGAGATGTATGCATGTTTTCACACTGCACAGTACAAATCATCACATGGTTTACCTCATTACATCACGGAAAATCGTTGCTGTGAGTTCGGTGAGGTTTCTATAAATGAAACTCAAACCAGTAATCACATGTGTCTGATGCAAAACATCCATATACTGAGGACTAGTCTAAGCGTTAAAACGTACAAATTAATGTTTCCGAGAATGAAGATAGATTTTTACAATACTATTGGTGTTCCAGCTAAATTAGTTATTGCTAGTAAAGAAGCTGAGAAGTACAGTAATAGATGATAGGTTAAAATGGGTGGAAAATGCAAATCTTGTTTGCACATAAGTGATTATATTCCCTTTATAAGCCTTTTTGATGTGGACAAATGTATACTGGTAATGTTTTAAAGATTTTTTATTGAATCTGTTTTAACTTTTTGTTGGTTTTATGGATTAAAAAATTAATCACAGCTGCAGGGAGTTAACCTAGCGTCAAATATCATAGGCTCTGTACGTTTAACCCTTTCATGCATGGCGTTCACTACAGTGGATAGATATGTAACTCCCTCAAAATAAAATATACTGAAAAAAAAAAACAGTTATTTGCAGGTTGGTTATGTATACCGAGCCACCAAGTGGAGGACTGTAAATGCTTCTAGATGTTTTGTTTTAAATGCAGTTTTGATCATAAATACTTATTGAAGCACAAAGATACAGGTGCATTTAGATTCTTTACATCTTAAATACATGAGGAAATGCTGTATTGCTAATGCCTGGGTTTGTGTATGTTGTGATGGTATATATTATTTGTTGCTTTGTTTATCAATGTTGATGCTTCAGAAATTGCCCATGAAGGTACAACAAAGAGTACTAATAAAATGAAAAAGTTAATAGTTACAGTGGTAACAGCTATGTTCATTACACAGTGATTGTTTTTTGTTGTGCTTTGGTGATTTCCAGTTTATAGGACCTTTTGAGTCACAAATACTAGGAAATGTAAACTACTTGAAACACAAAAAAATCATGTTAGGTCAACAGAATTTGGTCAAATGTTGTCCCAACTAGTCAGACCCAGCTAGCTCAACAAAGAATTTTAAATTTAACAATTTTACTGAAATATTAAGGGTGAGTTACCAGCATGCATTGCAGCATGAATAAATTGTTACTGTTGTTTCAATGCTTGCTGACATTTGTTTAAAGTTTTGTTGTTTTGTCATTATTGTTATTTGTTGTGTTGTGATGTCAAACAGCTCCTCTTACATTTGTCTATGTACAGCCTTCAAAACTATATCACAGATATCTTTGCTTTCTTAGGTGATTACGTTTTCAGAAACAATGCAGGCAAAATTCACTTGACAGAAAATGTCCTGTAAAACTATATGGCTTCCAACATGATAGATCACTTCATTGTGTTACTGACTGAAAAATGTTTTCTCTATGAATTTATTGGCTGAATGAGGCATTTTGCATTTAGTGAACAAACGCTCAAATTGACAAAACAGTGTTACAGTGTTACTTAGGACAATTTTAATAGTTGAGTAAACATAAAAATCTTTGACAGCGGTTTTATTTACAGAAACCAAAAAGAAGGTAATCCAACAATCCTAGAATACATGAGCAACAAACACAACATATTTGTAGTGAACAATGCAGGATACAATACTGGACAATGAACAGAACCAAACTTAGAGCTTAAATACACAGGAGATTATGAGGAATGTTACATTAGAGGGGATGATGGGATGACATTACAGTAGGAGTTAGAGGGATTGGGCTCAAGGTCTGAGGTAGGTGTGGGCTCAGGCTCGGGGTCTGTAGCATGTGAGTGGCATAGATCGTCCTCCTCCACCTCACCAACAATGAAAGTGAAACCACTCCGAGAGAGCAATAGGGTTACACTTTATTTTAAGGTGTCCTTGTTACAGTGTAATTATACATTTAAGTACTGAGTAATATTAATTAACTACATGTACTTACTATATGGTTAGGGTTAGGATTAGGGTTACTTGCATGTAATTATCCATAATTAATTGTTATTATAATAGTAAGTACATGTAACGTGTGTAACAAGGACACCATAAAATAAAGTGTTACCAGCAATTGCTTAACAAAATCCTGAAGCCTCCCTTGAGGGCCATCAACAGGCAGGGGAACAAGTTGTTTTAAAATTTCATTAAGTCCAGCCCACAAAAAGCAAATGCAATTGATCATGAAACTTATTTGTCCCATTTAACTGGATGTCTCACTTTTGTTGTGCTTGTTGAGTCCTAAGAGCAATGTTACTAAATTTGACTCAATGCATCCCTTGACAGAACTGGAAAAACACCTAAAGCCAGTAGTCAGTTGCTTAGACTAGTCTTAAAAGTTAATCTATTTGTCAAATTTGAGACTGATTGTAACTTTTTAAAGTCAGTTACATAAAAATGTAAATTGGTCTTATTTAATTTTGAAAAGTAAGACTAATTACCTCTTGGCTAACTTATAGTTGGTTAGACAGTCTTAAAGGGGTCATATGATGCAATTTCAATTTTTCCTTTCTCTTTGGAGTGTTACAAGCTCTTGGTGCATAAAGAATATCTGTAAAGTTGCAAAGACTAAAGTCTCAAAACCAAAGAGATATTCTTTATAAAAGTTAAGAGTTAACCACGCCTACCTAAAACGGCTCGTTGATCACAAATGCAGACAGAGTTTTATGTTTACGCTGCGCGGCGCAATGCAATGCAACGCAACGCGTAAAAAGACAGTACAAGTCATTATAATCAGTAATTATGTCCCCACTGGATGCAACAAATGCCTCGTTTGTAATGGGTTTTAATGTTTATGTCTCGTCGCTCCGGCCGGACAGTGCATCACAGTGTGGTGAGGGGCGTAACATCAACCATCTCACGCTTGAGGTATTCGGCCAATCACAATGCACTGGATAGCTGGCCAATCACAGCACACCTCGCTTTTTCACACCGTTGAGCTTTGTAAAAATCGACACATTTCAGAAGGCGGGGCATAGAGGAGAAAAAATAATGTACAGTATGTGGAAAATAATGTGTTTTTTTAACTTTAAACCGCATAAACATTTCATTACACCAAATACACAAAATAATGTTCTTTTTAGCAGCATCATATGACCCCTTTAATATAGTGGCTGTGTATGCAACTAGCTCCAGTAGATGGCGCCATTGCTCTAAATATTGCTTCAGTCTACTAAGAGTAACCAGTTTGAAACCCTTTGAAAGCTGTGGGGAATACATACAGCAGTGGGGAAAAGGTCTATACCTGGGTCCCACTGCCAAGCATTTAAAGTGAAAGAAAAGTCAGGACCGAAAGTGTACATGTCATGTTAGAATTAAATTAGCAGAGTTCAAGAGAAGTTAGCAGAGAAGTCAGTCTCATTCACAAACCAATGAATGACAAAATAAATGTACAGAATAAATATAAGCCAGGTTGTATATGCATCTCTGCATAACTTCACACCACTCCCCATTGACCTGAAGCTTTTTGTAATTTTGCAACAATATATACTTTTCTTGTAGTTGATCATCTATTGATATTTTTGAAAAATGTATAATACGGTTTTTTTTAGAGGCTTATACGGAATATTCCATAAATAAAAGAACTGCATGTACTTCATTTTCCTCTTTCATGTCTTTGCCAGCAAATTTGCATCACAATTAATGGATTCTGCATGTGATGAAATAGTCACTGTTTTAAATATTTAAAATTATTACTGTGTCATCTATTAATTTGGTAACACTTTAGTATAGGGACCAATACTCACTATTAACTAGTTGCTTATTAGCATGGATATTACTAGCATATTGGCAATTTATTAATACTTATAAAGCACATATTCTGCATTGCCATATTCTACATCCCTAATCCTACCCAATTGCTAAACTTAACAACTACATTAAGATTAACTACATTACATTAAGCAGTAATCAGGAGTTTATTGAGGCAAAAGTCATAGTTAATAGTTAATGGCGAGAATTGGACGTTAAAATAAAGTGTGACAATTAATTTTTCTATATTGTTTCCCTTAATAATTCAAAAACATCAATAAGCCAATGGAATAAACCTCTACATGACAAAACACATGTTGTACAACCCATACCATGTCATTTAATTGAACAGAATTTGATCAATTTCATAATAGATTCAATAAAATCAAAGCATGGACACTTTTGCTTATTGGTGCAGGAATGCACTAAATACTTGTATACAAGTCAATATCATTTACAATTTCCAGCTTGAAGCACACAATAAATACAGCATCCATATATTACACTAGGAAAACAATGTACTTTATTTCACATTATGTACATTATGTTACTGAATAGAAAGAATTTAGAGTGAATTTATTCATTTTAAGTGTGGCCTATACTCTCACTTCCTCAGGGATATGACAAAACATTTAACATACATAGGACAAAATAAAAACTCTTTCACTTTTTATCAGTTGTTATCATTACATTGGCTTGCACATGTGTATTAATACAAAGATCAAAGCAACACGATTTCCCAGTAATTAAACCAGCTGATCCACAGTATTTGTCAGCCATTTAATTGCACACCAGACTGCAGATAATGCATTTCCACTGATATAGTGAATGCTTTGACGAGCCGGTCACAAGCTCTATTCCCACCATTGCTTTGGGCTCAGAGACCGAAGAACTTAAATTGAATAGTTCTACACTGTAAAAAAAAATTCCGTAAAATTTACGGTAAAAGACCGGCAGCTGTGGTTGCCGGAATTTTACCGTAAAAAATACAGTAGCAACATTTTAGGTTTTACAGTTTTAACTTAAATTTACAGTTAAATACCGTAATTTCATTAACTGATATAATGTTAATATACCAACGTATTGAAGTACTGAAATCTGTTTTGTACCTTTGTAATACACTGATAACCACCAAATGCAGATGTCAAATGCAAATCACATGATGAACCAAAGCCCATCACAAGCAGCTTTTAAATAATAACATATATAGAAGGTGCACAGTGTCATTTACGCAAACGCTAAACACTAAAATTAATGTCCAATACATGTAATGTCCAATACAGTTTTTCACCGTATATAGTAGGGGAATTTACCGTTAACCATTACCGTTGTCATTTAACAGGTTTTTACTGTAACATTTTTACAGTCTTTTACCGTTAAATTCACCGTCATTTTTTACAGTGTAGTTAGTCTCTATATCTCTAGTTCAGTCTACCTAATCATTAAACATTAAAAAAAAGAACGAGCTAATGATTTCCTAAAAGTATCCAAAGACTAGAGTGAAAAACACCTGTGTGCTCGGTCTACCTCACTGGACTTGCATCCTTTCATCTGCAGTGCGAATGTCCACCTTCAAAATGAAGGGACAGAGCAAAGTCATGATTATAAACTATAAAGGAATATAAATGATCATAATATAATGATCAGAAATCCAAAAAGATATGATAGAATGTTTTTTCTTCAATAGAGTGCAATTCACTGTAACATTTTAATTACTCACAATGATGAAACAATTAGGTTTTCTTACATTTTCTTGGAGTGAACAGCTAGCTTTTTTTCTTGTTTGTGTGTTTTTTCATAGAATTCAAGAAGTTAAGAAGTTTTAAGAAGTTTTTGTTGTCCTTTTACACCTTCAAATGGGTATTAAAACAGACAAATACTAAGTTTAAACTCCCCTCTGTACCAAGATAAAATGCCTTCTGCAACCTTCATATTAGTGATGGATTTAGAAATTCTTCAAAATGTAGCACGTTTCCTCATGTAGAGACGTGTCACTGGGATTCTTTGGCTGGAAAAGCAGGGAACATGATGACAGTAGATTTTCATCTTCACCGATGTCTCAGCATATCCGTATTGTAAAGAGAACTGAAGCTTGTCGTCTGCCGCAATCAAAATGATTCACTCTATGGAAACATGATCAAACACAGATGTAACATCAAGTATTTAAAAATGTAATTGTACACACAACAAAGAATAACTTGACTAATATCTCATATCAGTAAATCAGATCTGAATGTGTTGAAGGAAGTAGGTCATCACAGTTAAGCAGAAATAGGTCACAGGAAGAGGCTTAGACGCCTACATTCAACTGTCTGTCCCTCTCGGTCTTCTCGGTACCTGATGCTCTTCAGGTTCTGCTCATGTAGAACATGTGAACAACACAAACACACACACAAAAATCGTGATTAATTTATTGCAGATCATGCACTCATATGATACAATGACACTTCTTCTCTGATTAAGTTTTGAGTGGCTTTAGGTAAAGATGAAAAAAACATTAACTTATTTTAGGGACAGGAGAACTGGTGTGAATGTGTCATGACAGCCGTCTGAGAGAGCCAAGATCGACCTTTGCATGGTGAGACTTAAATGGGTTGGCTTGATGATGACAGAAATTTGTGTCTCTTTAAATATTTGTATATTAAATTGATTGCATGATTTTGATGTAACATTTGACTTGGCTGTTCTGGATTGTTTTCATTCATCTTTTGGATGGCGTTCTAAATACTCACCATCCTTACGCAGGACACACTTCCACAAACAGAAACAGAGGCAGAGGACTAGAAGGAACGCTACAGTAGTCACAGAGATCAAGATAGCGAGCGCTGTGCCAACTAGTGAGAGAAACAGAGAAAACCACAGATTGCATGCTACTTTTCAAGCATTTGTTTTCAGTTACCTTTTCACTTTGGAATGGCTTCTGAATATTTAATCATTGGATGTTTCTTCAACTTTGGCCAGTTTTGTGTCCTGTTGATGTTATGATTTTTATAAAAATATAAGATTTTATCTTTTTTTTTTTATTCATGTTATATGGAGGTGTTGGAGTGGTATAAATAACAGAATCATATTTTTACCATGTTTGCATCATTTATTTTTGACATTTTTGAAAACTATAGAGTTTTTATTCATTTTGATTTCAGTTTTTAATTTGAGTTATTTTAGCCACGTTAAACTAAATGAAAATGAGAAATGGGAACTTTGGGAAAAAGTAGTTTTATTTTAGTTTTTTTTTTTTGGTCCCAAACTCAACCAACCTTAAAATCTTTTCCAATTTTGTCAAATTGTAAAAGTATTAAAATATTATTTAATTTTCTGTATTTAAGATACAGTACCTGCTAACTATGAAATTAGCCTTAGCAAGACAAAGTCTGCCAGTTTATTAAAAAAAAATGTTTTGAGATTTGAGGATGTTTTGAGGATTTTGAGATGGTGGAAATGACAATTTGAAAATGACTACATTCTCCAGTGATTCATGTATGTCCACTGTTGGACAATTTTAATGGACAAATAAACTAGCGTGTGAAGAGAGTGTGAGAAGTTCCCTCTCCAACAATGAGTTTGTTTTCTAAAATTCCACAGGGCCAAAAGTGGCCCGTAGTTGAAGAAACACTGTTACTGCAATGACAACAAGTTCTCTAGTTTTAAACAGAGATGCAGCCAAAGGTCAAATTAAACAGGGAACATATGCATAACTAACTCTATGTTACATACTGACAAAAACAAAAACCAATGAATGGATGTAATTCATTTAAAACCCCATGTCACCCCCCATTTTTGAACATATACTGTACGTAAAAGTGCGCTATCCAGACTTAAATAATTATAATTCATGAACGCTTTGGAATACAGACCTACAGTTGGTCTCTTTTAAAAGGCAGATTATTGCAGAAGTCATACAAAAAAAAGAAGTCTAAAAAAGTTATAGAAGTTTACATTTCAATACATTTTTAAAGAAAATGTACTGTACTATTTTTTTATTGTATATAAAAGAAATATTTTACAACATTTTTTAATCTAAAATTGTTATAAAATTAAAGCCATATGTTTAACTAAATTATGTACCAAATTTGAAGTTGATATCAAAAAATGAAATTTTGTTTAGACGTTATACCAAAAATAGCCACCGGGTGACATCCAAACTCCACAGAATTTTTTTTAATGCATTTTTTTCCATCACAAATTTCTCTCTCAATATTACTTCTGTGACACCAAATATGGAATCTTGAGACTCAGACCTTTCTAACGATATGTATTTTGTCAAGATCATAAAAAGTTTTGATTGTAAAATACCATAATACTTTTTGTAATATGACACTTGAAAACGCCCACTAAGCGGGAGGAGACCACTAAAAGATTTTAAAGTGCCATTTCCATAGTTACACAATGTCAGAATTGTTTTCACAGGATGAATTTTGAGTTTGTAAGCTTTCAAATGATATATATCATTTATGATGATCACTAAATATGTGAGGAGAAAAGAACGGAAAAAAAGAGTGCCAAGTGTCTCACCAGCAGGACGGTGACAGATGCATGCTATGACAGCCTTAGGCCTTTATCAGACTCTCTTCTCCTCTTCCATCCTTTTCAAAAACTACAGAGGTAGTATTTTCTTGGCTTTAAAGATGAGTTTTCCTGAGCGTCGCTCTGCGTTCTGTCCAAAAAGCAACTCTTATAGAGATGAACGTAGAGCGAGGGCCAGGAAAAACACTGAATGATGAGCCCAGAAAACCTGAAACCTGTTTAATTCAAATTAAACAGTTTTTTTTTTTCTTGTTTTGCCTTCAAGACTCTGTATATGACTCTTTATCATTTCTCATTTTGGTGTCAGAATACTAATATAATTTAAACTTTTATTACCTATTTTAGAACAAGACATTTTTGCAGCATGGTTTCACTGGATGTTTCTTTTTGGATTGAGCTTTTGCTTTATTCTGAAAGCTACAGTATGTTTTCAAAGCACAATGAACCCATTTACCTCAACCCAATCAAGGAAAATTTACATTTACAAATTTATTCCATATAATAAATAAACACTCACTTTTAGTGTTCATGGAAACAGCAATGGCAGTCTCCAGTCCTTTATGATGAACGAGACATTTGACAGAGACATCCTTCAGGAGTCCAGCCTGGATGGTCAAGGTGCTGATGACCAGAGTCGTCCCGTCACTCTGCTGGATAGCAGTGGTCACAGGTGGACCAATGGTCTGGTTATTCCCCTCCACATTCCACACTATTTCAGCCTGTGGCCGGGCCACGGCAGTACAGTTAGCCTCGATTACTCCTGGAGATGTGGTCTTGTAGCTTACTTGAGGTTTTGGCAGGACTGTAAATGATATAGGATATAGGTTTATGTTTTGTGTCTTACTCTTAGAGAGTTTAATCTAGGGGTGTGTAGTCAGAGTACACAGCTACATGTGAATGTCCATCAGTGGAGGTAGATGATTTGTTCCTACAGAGTGGCAGGGCTGTAACCACCACAGACAATAATTAGAAATGACCAATTGTTCCCCCGATGTTTGAAATTCTTAATGCTGCTCTGTTTGTTGTTAAAATGACAAAAAGTTATCAAACTTACATTTTTAGGCTGGTCTGCCTCAGCGGTCTATCATCAAAGTCAAAATGATTGAGACCAATAAAATCAAAAAAGGTGTTCAAGCATGAATTCCTGTGTTGCACTTCAGTTGAAAGTGCAAGATATGTAGTTAAACGTTTAATATTTGGCAAACTCAAATTTGGCCGAAAATAGGCTGAATCGTTTGCATGATTCAACTGAATGTGACAAGACAAGAAACATTTTGCCGTTTCATGTTTTCAACTTCTAAGGCATACGAATAAAAGCAAATGTGCATATTTTTAAATAAAATACTGTTCATTTTTCTTTTCTTTTTTTATTCCCTTTTCCATTTAAAACCTTTAAATATTTAATCCCTATATAATTACAACCCCCTTCCGCCGAAAAATTCTCCCCCACCCCTCAAAGTTAAAAACATGGAGACAACCTTGACCACATCTACCAGCCAGGACCATTGGAGCCATGCTAACCAGCCAAACTTTGACCTGTTGATCCCAACACATAATCATGCATTGACTCTACTGAATGATAACCATTTGTGTTGGCTTGAAAAGCAAGAGTTGGCTTTGTAAATCAACAGAACTGCATGCCATCTCTGACTGTTTGCAGCCCACATATTTTCGTCAGTAGTTCAAAGCTACAGAGATGCCCATTGAAACCACAGCACTGGCTCAAAAAGAGGTATACGCTTGGCGTTCCAACAAAGGACAAGCATTTCACATTCTTACAAAACCATGACATTGGGGTTAAAATATCCCTTTAAGTATCCGTTGAAGGCTGCATCCTAGTTTGAACAAATACAAGGCACAAAGTGAGCATCAATCTGAGAGAGACAAAGCAGGAGAATGAGAGCAGCACATAGAGAGAAGCACTGTGTTAGTGGAACAGTGACACAGTCATTCACTTTGGCCACAGTCTGAATAAATCATAGATCTCACAGTCTCACCCTCCTACAATCAGTGTCTTTCATATCGCTCTCTCTCTCTGTCTGTTGTCCTCATTTTCTCCAGTCCTGTGTATGTTAAGCCTTGTCCTGCCCTCTCTACGACTCTGCTACAGCCCTGTCAGCTGCATACACTGAACTAGACTTGTGTTTCACAGTTTAGAGTCGAAAAACCCGCAATTCAAAATATCAAAATATTGTTAGGGTTAGGGTTAGTAGAATATGTTGACACGAACTTGCAAAGATCATAGTAGTAGAATGTCTGTTGAAAGAACATCAAAATAAAGTGTTAGCAGATATTAAGCAGACAATCTACTTAATTGACATCTAGTCGCAAAGTTACCTAGCTGTCTAAAGTGGACTATCAAAATAATGTGTTACCTGATTCAGCCTATATATTCCATTCAAAATAGTGCACAGCAAAATCCTCAGTTAAATCAACTCTGCTCAGAGTACATATTGTCCTAATCTACAGAGTGTTAAAGTAACACTGAAGCCGAGTTAAAGTTAATGGGATAATTAAGCAATTGATGAGTGAGCGTTAGTAAAGAAAACCCGCTGTTAACAATGTTGAAGATGAACAACTACTGCTCAGGCTTTTAGACATGAAAACTTATCACATAATCCTCAACAGTGGTAACTCGGCTTCAGTGTTACTTTAAGATTGGGACAATATGCACTCTGAGCAGAGTTGATTTAACTCTGGGTATTTTGCTGTGTGAAATTTGACAAAGACGTTGAGTACTGTAGTTTACATCACTGGATATCTGGCAGCTGTATGTCGTTCAACATTTCTGTCATAAAACTTTCATACCATTAACACCTGAAGCGCTGCACTGGAATTCATGTTTGTATGTGTGAACAGTAAATGTCGCCTTCTTTTATTTGATTGGTCTCAATCATTTTGACATTGACAAGTGCTTAGACCAGCCCAAAAAATGTAACTTTATGTCATGCTAACAAAAAACAAAGCAAGCGTCAAGTATATCAAATATTGGTGCAGCCCTGAATATCATCATTAGCCAGCTTAACAAATATCAGCATCATCCAGCTTACGAAGATTTCATTGTAATTGTGGACTAAAGCCTTGAGGGACGTACCAAATATAGTGAGGCAACTTATGGCACTCTTAGTGATGTCCGGGTACATGTGGAACTCACAGGTGTAGCAGGCCTCATCTTCAGCTCGGACCGGCCATAACGTGAGCTGCGTGTCAGACAGGGAAGGGCTCAGGCTCGCACGGTCCACAAACTCTTCTTCAATCACAGGGTCACTCTGCTTTGCAAAAGATGCAACTTCACGGGATTCTGCTTTATTAACAATCTTCTTCCACAGCACCTGCTTGACTTTCTCCGGTAGGCCGTACCGACAGGCCAGAGAGGCTTGTTTACCACCCACTGCAGTCTTATTGCCCTCTGAGATCACCTTTGCTGAAAAACAATGAAAATAAGTCACTACTATACTAACAGTAGCATGATGCATACATAATTATAAATACATTATAGTATAGTGTATTTTAAACTATAGTACATGTAATCTGTTACTTAATAGCATACAACTATATGCTCTTTAAAAGGGGTTTTTGCAGCAATGCCGTAGAAGAACCGAAATTTAAAAGAGGTCTCAGTGAGACCAAGATGGGATGAGTATTTTCAGTGCCAATACATAACAATAGCTGCCTAAGGAGCATCCAGAACACAATCCCCACATGATCAATGATGTATTAAATATGTAATTGTAATCCACGGGGCATTGCGTATCTCCAAAAGTTCATGAATGATTCCTTCATTTTGCATCTGTAGTATCTTGACAAATAAATGAAAGACCAGGAACGGGAGGTGAACTACTAATTTATTTTTCTCATAGTTTAGCTTGGGTGCATTATAATGATTCCCTGAGTCAAAATATGATCAAAGGTTACAAATGTGAATGTGTTTGAATATGGCAATTGAAAACACAACATTACTCAGCTGAAATGAACTAACTGACGTGAATAAAGATGAATAAAATGTTGCTGAACAAGATTCAAAAATCCAGTATCTGATCTCCCCTTCGCTACATGGTAGTGTTGTTTTGTTCCTAAATGAATCAGTGTTTTAAACCAATGAGTTCTGAGTGAATGATTCAATGACTCATTCCTTAGCGGTGTCTCAATTTAGAAAAGCAGCTATAATTTACATTCCAAAGAAAGAAAGAAATTACTGTAATTACACCTCAAAGGGAACAACAGTTAATTTTATAATGATTGCCCAGAGGGCACAGCATTTTAAATTGAAACACAGATTCTGATTCATTCTTTAGTGAATCAGCATTTTTTAAGGAATCAGTCGTGTGACTGATTCAATGACTTACTCATGACAACTTGTCACTACCTACCACTGTTTCAATGTAAACTGCAAAAGGACTCACTAAAAAAAAATCACCATCATTAATGCACATAAGTACAGTCTGGAACAAAAAAGTGATATAAACAATAAAAGGTCCCAGTGTTACTGGAAAGCACTGATGCTCACTGTCAATGGAAGTGTAGATGCATCCTCCAAATACATCTTATCCAAGACTCACCTATGACAGTAAGGCAGGTTTGTCCTTCTCTTGAGCCTTTGGGATAAACATCAAAGATGCAAGTGTAACAGCCCTCATCCCTGTAGCTGACCCGTTTGATGGTGATGGCACTGGCATCTCGTGGTGAAGGAGCTAGCTCCACATGCTGTTGTCCACTCACACTGTCTTTTTCACCAGGCTGGTAAGCGATTAACGTCTGGTTCTGCACATCCAACCAGCGTATCTGATGAACCGATTCTCCTCTGGCCTTGACAAGCGTACAGCTCAGAGTGAAGGGCAGTTCAACCAGGGCCTCCAGACGTATTGGAGCTGAAACCCTGCCTGAGACACACCAATACTGAAACCAACTGAAACGCACCAATTACGCATAGAACAAGAGATTACTACAATCACCTTGTAGTCTGGACACCATTACCAAAGACACACAGATCTGTAGACATCTTGGCAAGGAGACCACAAACATCTTAGCCTAGTGGAAAGGTAACACAGTATTTCAGTAACTATAGTGCCAAATTATAAGATATAGCTGTAAAATTAAAAGTCCACAGTTTTATCTATCTTTAAATCATTTGTACCCTTTATATTGAGAGGGCATTTAACGGTCCAGGTCAGTCTTGTGGGATGAAAATGAAGACAATGATTTCTGTCAGTTAGGGATGTTTCCAACATCTTACTGAAGGGCTGCCATCTGTGTTCACATATTACAGACACAAAGACAATGTATAAAACATATTTAGAAACTATATACACTTAAAAGCTTAAAATGAGTTTGTAAACAAATAGAAGTGGTGGTTTCATATGAATAATTAATTTGAATCTGGATTGGATAGTGAAAGAAAAGCAGTCAACAAGTGTCCAGCTCAAGTATAAGATAACTTCAAACTTCTCCATTTGTGTTATTTCAGAGTTTTGATGACTGTATTATTTGTGTTTAGTTTTAACATCAGTAGTGAATAATTACATATTTCAGAGAACATCATTAATTTGTGTTTGAACAGTTTAATCCATAACTACACCACAACATGATATTAACCCTGTGGTATTGTTCATTTGGGGGTCACACTTGTGTTGTTTTTTTACGACCATTTAGCTCTTTCGAATCAAGTCCACAACTTTTTGTTTTTGTGGTCACATAGTGACTGCCATAAAAGTTGAGTTTTGTACCATTTATTCCGATGAAGCAGTGATTTTTAAAAAATTCGAAACCTTTTTTTTTTTTCGGTCTAAAATGACCGAACAGAGGGTTAAGTTAATTTAAATGAATATCTTTTGATTTTAAATTTGTTTTATTTGTTTTAAGAGGCCAAAAATATTCTACAAGGAATATATAAATATAATCTTTAGTAGACAGGATTTGCTGAAAACAGTTAACTAACTTACTTTACTGATATTTATATATAATATATAATGTTTCTGTATAACTATATATTTTTCTGTTATGGCATATGCAGAATACTATTTACATTTTAAAATAAAATCTAGTAAATATACTAAATAAAAATAAAAAGATATTAGACCTTGATAAACTGATCATTAATAATCTGACCATTTATTAATACTCAAACAGTAGAATTATCAGTTCATCTGACAGTGGCATTCGGGAAAATGAGATACAAAATGAGGCTGAAGTTTAATATAAAAGTTACCTAAGATGGTCAGAGTGTTACAGATAGTAATTAATATTATATTTTGACATACCTCTATGTGGTGTAGATGCCCTCAGCCCTCAGCTGAACATGCACAACACACTCTTCAACACACTGAACCAACTGGGCTGCAAACGGTCCTTTCTCCACCCATCACTATCCACTGCATATTCCAAGTTAAGCATGTGGTGGCTCCGTCTCACAACTCACTGAGCTGCCTACTTAGACAGCATTGTCAGGCATCATAGGCATCTCAGCTCTCTCTCTCACACACACACACACACAGCTCTGACTCAAATGGCAACAATGGCCAAATATGAAACAAAAAAATTCTAATTATCTGACTTTTTGGATTAAAAAAAAGTAAGGTTGAGATCAAACAACTATGGGGACAGCCTGCAGTAATGCCACAGACCCCCCCACTGAAGACCTGTGGAGGACTCTGTGTAATATAGAAGTATACCTTGAAAGTCGCTTTGGATAAAAGTGTCTGCCAAATGCATAAATATAAACTTCAGAAGCATTTCTGTAAAGAGACTCACAGCACAGGAATGTTCTCAGTCTGCCCTCTAGTGTTCAAAATGGGACTGACAATTTTACTCATAATACTTCATCATTAAAGAAAAAAAAACAGTGTAGACAGCTTTATTGATTATAACGGTAGTTTTTTGAGAGTGCTTAAACGCGCGCTAGACTGAAATCAGTGATGTTCTTTCATAATGTAAATATAATATAAAGGCTAATTTATTCGCCGTTTCAATAACGGTGGAAATGAAATAAAATAATAACATAATTTGTAACTTACAATGTGTGTGTGTGAGACGTGTGTAGCCAAGTATTGGTGTGGTGTCCCATACAAGGAATTTGTGCTGTGCATTTAACCCATCCAAGTGCACACACAGAGCAGTATGTATATATATATATAAGGGCGGCGTTTAAAGGGGTCATATGATGCGATTTCAATTTTTCCTCTCTCTTT